ACATCACGATAATTCATTTACTGTTTTCTGTAATTAGTATTTTCAGCAGAGGTAAGGTGAATTCTTTATTCTAATGTCATCTCTTTTCTGACACTGCTTCCTTGAGTTCTTTTAGTCCCTAGGTGATGTCTGTGGGCAACAGATGGTGATGGTGGGAGAAGGAGCAAAGGAAAGGTGGGCTTGGGGTAGAACGTGCTCCAGGACCCCAAGAGCTGATTTTGAAAGGGCACAGCATCACTTACATGCAGGAAAGCTGCCCTAACGTCCCAGCAATTCCAACAGAAAAGGAAGAAGTCTTTCTGACAAATTCTTACAAGCCAGGTTCAAGGCAGAGTAAGCCCCAGCACGGGCTAGCCACAGCTTGACATCCTGCTGCCCAGCTACTCACAGCATCCCCAAAGTCCTCACGGCCCGTAATTACACATTTATCTGACTAGTTTAGCACACTCTGAATGTCACCAACGCAATTACTCAGCCACAAATACGTCCCATTTGTGCCATTTTACTCACTTTTTCCTCAAATCACTAATCCATTCTGTGCAAAATTAGCTTTCACAGAATGACTACTAATGATTATCTACAGAGAAAAGATGGCAGTGGTATGATTATTATAGTAGAATGGATAGCTTACTCATCACTCCCATTTATTTAGGGCCAATGTATTTAGTGCAAGGCCCTCTGGTGGCACCTTTTTTTCATCTTTAGGGAGTCCTGCATAAAACCCATTTCATCATATTTGTATTTTTCTAGGTTTTGTCATAACACAATCTTGTGTAAACAATAGGTTAATTTTGACAGTGTTTTTTACTGTTCTAGCTCTTAACCATTTATAGTAACCTCCTAGTTTCCCATTACACAGCATATATGTATTTTGTATATAATAGAAATTTTTTTCCTAGCAAATGTAGTTATTTCAAAGGATTTTTAAAATGCATATTTTTTCCAGAACAATGACTAGTTGTGATCTCTTACAGCAAGTGGAAAATCACGAAAGTTTTACCAAGTAACTGTAGTTAACTTCTTTCTGAACTTACCTTTCCCATTTGTCTTCATTTTTCAGAATGGCAATTTCTGGGGAGAATCTGTGCATCCGTACTTGGTGCCAAAATTCGCTTTCCTACATATGTGTTCTCCTAGAGCGTGCATGTGCTCTGTAGACTTGATTATCAGATACCTTTTTTTGCAAGCAGCACATGCGTGTTGCCCCTATATTCCCTTCCACGGGTACACATGTGGAAAAGGGAGATGGGAGTGTACGTACTTGCAACCTGGTTTCCTCTCAGCTGCGGAATCCGTAATGCTAGAAAGTAGTCCGGATTCTGGAAGATATGTCTCATGGATAAGAAATCAAGATGTGTCATGCCAACGAAGATCTACTTTAGTTGGCTTACGGAGATTTTTTAATTTGACTATTTCTCCACAGGCCCAGTATGTCTCTCACTGGAGACAGTATTACTCTACCATGCTACGTAACAATAAACTATGCACGCCGAGATTGAAATTCATGTTTGCATGAATTCTCCAACCTATGCCCCAGAGCAATAGGTTGACATCATCTGTATGACCTTGGCTGAAATGATGAGTAAAACTGAGTCTTACCTGTCTTTATGAAGGAACCTGTAAGTGATAATCTCATCCTTGATGAGAAGAAACTACTGGCCATGCAGTGACTTCTCCATGAAGCAGATGGCAGGCCACCATCTCTATCTTAGCAACAGAACAGTTGGCATTTTTCATTCTGATTAATAAACAAGGCCAAATTTATGAACATTTCCACAGATACAACCACAGAACGGAGTCTCTAGGCACCTCTACCAACAAGATGTAGATGTTCCCAACCTGCTACTTCAGGATTCAAGGAGAAGAATCCATTCAAATGTGTATTTCAGCCTCTCAGCATGAAGCTTCGTTGTGCTAAGAAAGAATAGTCAGTGCTGTTCCTCGAGACAGAGACAGCTGGAATTACCCAAATCTGCTTAAAGCATGTACCCAACTCTTCTAAGACATAAAATGCACTTTCTTGTAGGTGAAAGGTAGGAAGATAGGATGAACTTCAATCACCGTCAAACCTTATCCATGATTTAATATGCCTTCCTGCACAGCAGGATCTCACTGATGTCAGACTGACCATTCCAGTCACCACATCATTCACCATGGGAAGAGAGGCAGGAAGGGCTACAGCTTCTCTCTGGTGTCCCCCAGAGCTCTGTACCACACCAGACATGCATGCCAAACATTATAGACCTATAAGGAGGCTACAGCTCTAAGTGGGGAGCAGTAGTATTTCTCAGCCCTACCGAAACTTTTGACTCATGCTGCCTCCATTCATTACAGCAGCTGAAGTCACCATCTGCATGAGTTGCACTGATTAACATGAATCTTCCATGACTGTCAGGACTGTAGTGCTTTCCCAGTGATACCAACAGTAGCTTCTCTGTTGCCTCCCAGAGACCAATCATCTCTCCAGCTGAAAACCTAAGCTAATTCATTGAGAAAACATTGCATCATCCTGAACCAGTTTGTCCCACTACCGAGCGGTAGCATGTGACAGCTCCATTGACTCTGAAAGCTTTCCCTTGAACGAATCTGCTATCACAACTGCAGTACAAGTCGTCCCTTGCATTTAGTGACAGGGAAAATACTCATCAAATATGAAACCAGTCTTAGTCATCCTAAAGACAGTTGAGAGGAAGATAACTTTTTACTCTGTCCTAGTCCTATCCTTCCACAGGACGGGAAAGAGCATGGGGACAGTTGGACATTATTACTAATAGAAAGCAAGAACAGAATGGACTGTTGAAAGGCTCAGGCAGCCTTTCCTTGTTTGCTACATGTTTCCAAAATCAAGAGTGTAAAATACAAGTGGCCCTATTTTCTATGGGAAATGATGGCTGTAGATACTAACATCAATTTCTGACAGCACCTTAAATGTGATGTTAAGCACAGAAACCAGGCCTCTTCATAAATACGCGTACCCAAAAGCCTGCTTCGTGACAGCTTCTTGATTTCAGAAAGCACTGTAACCCCACGGCCGAACGAGCACATTTGGCTGGCAACAGCACTGGAAAACGTGCCTTCCACGGATGTCTGGTCCATACCAGGCCGGCCATCTGGAGCCACTGACCACTGATGGCGTGGGGCCATCTGTGGCAGCGGGAGCACCCCGCT